AAGCTATGAGAATACTTTTTGTGCGCAAAAGAAAAAAAAATTACGACTTTATTCAACAATTCGTCTCCTCCGCATCACCCTGGTGCCATTTTGGAGAATATCCGCTGGACGTAAACATTCGTATGCTGTTCTGTGTCAGCTGCGTCACACGGACACGCTGTTTCCGTTCAGATCAAATCACAACAACGTAGGAAACAGATCCGGCGTGACGCAGCTGACACAGAACAGAATACGAACGTTTACGTACAGCGGATATTCTCCAAAATGGCACCAGGGTGATGCGGAGGAGACGAATTGTTGAATAAAGTCGCTATTTTTTTTCTTTTGCGCACAAAAAGTATTCTCGTAGTGTAATTTGTGTTCCGAAGATGAACGAAGGTCTTACGGGTTTGAAACGACATGAGGGTGAGTAATTAATGACAGAATTTAAATTTTTGGGTGAACTATCCCTTTAATGGAAGGGGGGGGGCATACTCCCTCAGCCATCCGCATACAAACACTTCTTGGTTCTACACAAATCACATGGGCCATATTGTATAATCATATTGTGGCTTCAAAATGGCAAAATTAACCAAAAGGTAACAATTTTGTGGCACTGTTAATAATGTATGAATGCATTATGTGCATTCAAAATACATATGGCTTAATTTGAGGGGTGGTTGAATAGGCATGACACCTATGACTTCTTTATATTCATGCATTTGGCAGACGCTTTTATTCAAAGCGCCAGCATTCAAGGTTCACATTTCGTTAGTTCTTGCTTTCCGAGAATCAAACCCTTGATCTTGGCGTTGCTAGCGCTAGTTTGAGCTGCAGGAAGGCTTCCTAGTAATTTCGTTATACTCATGTTGATAGAGTTGTGTTAAAGCAGACTGACTGTATGAAAATTTTGCTAATAGTCTGTCAGGTGAGAATTTCCACAGAAAATTTCACAGCTGGATGACCCCAACGTGTTTTACAACTATTATGATTCCATCACCACCCCACAAGTGCTTAGAAACCTATAGGCTACCTGTCAGAACTAGTTTAGGCATTTACAATTCAAACTGTCCAACTTTCCTCGTCGCCTCCTATTTTAATAGATCCTCGCAGCCCACGGCATGTTACTCCTGATTTATTCCTTATTACGAACCATCTTCCTGACCACACGCAAAATGCGAGCTTGGGGTAGATTTCGGCCCTTGGCCCGTCTCCACGTGTTTGAAGAGCATGTGCAGTCCTTGCAGATTGAATCGTGCTCCTGCCTGCCAGCCAGACGGTCCCAGAGAGGCCAGATTTACGTGCTGAAAACTCCCCTCACTAACAGAAAAACTTTGGCTCTGACCCCTGACAATAAGCATACTCCCTGTCTCACCAAGTATGCGGTTCAAATCAATCAACACCGATGTCAAAGACAAACCAGTTCCTTTCAGCTCCATTCTGCTATACTGAGACATGCAGTCAGGGATACATGTGCATCTTGCATTTACATTTAATCATTTAGCAGATGCTTTTATCGAAAGTGACTTTTAAAATGTGAATGAATACAGGTCATTAATATGGATGAATACAGGTCATTAATATTATTAATACTCATTACGCTGGGACTTTTCGCTGTTTGCATCACTCCCGTGAGTCACTGGTGGTTTCAGTGAATTAATTTGTTTGGACACATTGATTTGTTCAGTAAGGAAACAATTCACAATCCTTATGAATGAGTCATTGAATTATTCACTGAAACAATTAATTTAAAAAAAAAGAACCATTCAGTAACAAGACAAGCGACAGTGGGCCTGTCTCAATATCCACACTTGCGGTGTTGTCCACTTGAGAGCATGTGCACATGACAGAAAGTGTGCAAGACTGTCCCAGCTCTGAAAAATGCAAATGCTCAGTGCCCTTAATGCGCACTAAATACACTCTACCTGTAATAAAGCTATAGAGCGGTATTTCAGGCTAAGCGTATCCCATGTATCGTTTATCACATGAATTCAGGAACTCGTGCACCAAAAGCATAAAAGTTTGAGGAAAACTTTCCAGTGTAAGTATATATTAGAATTACTCATAATTTGGTAATAAAGTGCAAAGTGTTGCAGAATTTGTTTGTGCAGAAATGAGTATGTGTATTTTGTAAAACGTTTGCAAAACTGCTTTTATCACTTTATTAGATGCACCACAATTAAATTAAGTTGTATTGTTATGTAAGGACTACTGAAAAGACATTTAGTTTATATTAAAGTACAAAATATAGAAAATCAAAATGTGTAAATAAAGTTTGTTAAAACTTTACTAAATATGTTCCATTGAGTAATCAATAGTTCTACCCACACTTGTGGTGTTCACGCCCACTTGAACACTTGGGTCAAATACAGGAAATGTTTACGTAAGTGGACAAGTGTTCAAGTGCAAAAACCACAAGTGTGGGTATTGGGACAGGCCCAATCTTTATGAGTCATTAATTCATTCAACAGCACTGAATCATTCAGGAAAACAGTATTTATGAGCGAGTAATTGAATTATTCATACAACCGATTCATTCAAAAACTATGATTTAATAAGTAATGCCACTACTGTGTGTTGTTCGGAGACACAATGGTTAATTTTCCTTTGGATATGGTTTTATTAGTTTATTTAATTTTTATGAAAGCAGTCTCACTCTCATTCACTCTTACTCATGCAATGTTACTTATGTAGTAATTTCAAGCTCAAAAGGGAAATATTTATGACGAATTAATGTAATATTGTATATACAGTACAAATCTGTGTAACTGGCCAGCTGTCGATGAAGTGGTAAAACTAGTAATGCTGGTAGGGGTTACAAGGAGTTCCTGTCTATCTCAGACTAACCATAAAGCCTCACTAGGGGGAAAGTCACTGGGTGCCAGAGAAATTTCCTCATAATAGCCAGTAAATGCCAAGTTTGTTTGCATTACATTTCTGTACAGACAGTAATCTACTTTAGTGAATTTTCAACCTACAGACCTTTTATTGGGTCTGCATAGGGATTTGAAGCAGGAAACCAGAGCTAATGCCTACACTAACTTCAAACAAATGCCAGGAGCTCCTTAAATGTCGGGTGGGCAGGAGTGGGGCTCATGTTATGGGGGGCAGATGGGAGAGAGATGAACCTGGAAGTGCTGAGTTCAGAGAGAGAGAGACAGATGTCTGCTTCTGCTTATCTGGAAAGCTGGAGTTGGTCATATCTACAATCCTAAAACAGAACAGACGCCCAGGGGTGTTACTGTACCATTCGAGGGTCAGCCAACAAGCGCAATGCAAGAGTGCACAACTAGAACATCTTCCTCCTGTAAGTACCGTCCAAAAATGCATATAAAACAGCATATGTTGTTAATAACCGACTCCTTTCCATCATCTTTAGTGACCCATTTTGGGCGATAGTCCTGAGTCTATCCAGTGATGTTTGGAGTAAATGGAGACAAGATTGTCACTGCAGGTCATTATGGAACTTGGCAGATATCTAAATGTCCTTGCCTTGAATGACTCATTCGGATGTAAAGAGGGAGTGAAAGGATAGACGGCTAAATTGTGTGTACTTGGATCGATTGGCTGCAGCTGTTTAACTCTGTACACACACCATAAGGTCGATATGCTCTGGGTTTATATTTAAATATCAACTGACACTAACAATACACATCGTATACATTACAAGGATAAACGTGTCCATGTTAAACGATACGTCAGCGGCCCTGTAGACTGAGCTGATATAGTCTTTGAATGCGGTGCACACACATACCAGTCGGTGTCCTCTAGACATATTGCACTGGCTGTTAAGTTAAAGTACAGCCTGCCAGAAAGCCCCGAAAAGCCACAGCCACCCTTACTGTGCTTCAACACCCCCCAAAAAAACAACTCTGAAATGCCGAGCTGCCCCCTCCGTTTGTTAAGCGAAACTTTTTTCCCTCTTAAAGAGGCCAAACTATTTTTACTGGCTTTAGATCCTAACAGAATGCATATAAGGAGGTTTTTGGCCAGAGGGAAGGCAATCCCGAAGAAATGTGCTATACGTCTGCATGTGGCAAATGTTTCTGCTCCATAAACTTTAGCAGCTATGTCTGACAGTCGGTGCGCTGGAGCAATTCCTGCTGTGATGATGGGAATATTCATGCTGTGGCATCCTCGGGTCTTCCATACACAGATGACAGGTCTGGACACATTTCAAGAACTGCAGTGTACGAAAAATGAGAAATAGCACCATTAGCAGAATTCATGTTTGAATGTGCTTGCTTAAACACATATTTAAATAAAAAATAAAAAATAAAAAATGAAACACACTTTATGAATAAATATAAAAAAACAAAACAACAACATACCAATAAGGTTCCATTTGTTAACATTAATTAACCGCATTAGTTAGCATGAATAAATAATGAAAAATACTTCTAAAGCATTTGTTAATTCTAGTTAATGTTAATTTTAACATTTATTAATAGATCTATTATTAATAGATAATATTACTTAATAACTCTGAGCTAACATGAACTAACAATGAACAGTCGTATTATTGTAAAGTGTTAACATATATAATAACATATTTTCGTGTTTTAGTTGAACAGCGCTGTCACTCAGCACAACAATGATTACGTATTTGCATATACTGCAGTATTTACTTAATGCATTACACACAAGAGATTGTTATTTTAGATGGGTTTGTTATCAGATTTGTTTTGCTGTGAGAGAAAACAAAGAAAAGACCCACAGGAATCAGAAACATGTTTTGCCCTCAAGTGATGAGAGAACTGTATTCGCTTTCTTAATATTTAGCAACTGATACAGATATTTAATATCTTTCCCCACAGTTCCTTTTTTATTTCATTTTCTTGCATTTTTGACTCTTGTGCAACTATGGTTTTTGTATTATAAATCAATCATCTCTTCATTATTCTTATGCTTGTTTTTATTTTGGTGCGTTGGTTGTTTTTCTTTATCAAAAAGAAAATAAAGAAAGAGCATTTTTAGGAGACATGTCATGACTGGAGAGGGTGGGGAAGGGCGTAGGCTACTGAGAATCCCACAATGTCTTTCTTTCCTTGCCAGGAGCACTGTTTATGAAAGTGTGTTTGGATTGCCCTCCCTTGTGTGAACAGTTTCTGCAGCTAAATCATATTTTATCTTTATCGTGTTAGCTTTGGATGGACACTTCCTGTTGATTGTTTTATACTTCCCATGGGCCGATTCACCAAAGGCACATTTGTTTGATGACAGATGTGGCGGTTTTGATGAATGTATTAGTTGTACCTTAGATTAGTGTTCATGCGACATTCTGTACATTTCAGTTGCCTGTGAGAAAAACACTGTGAACACAGTCTGAACAATGGCAAATGAATCACGCACTGTACTTGAACACACTTACACAGAGTGTAATTCACTTCCACTATGTCAGTAATAGTATGATTTCTTTCCTCGAGACTTTCTTCAACTCCCACAGTTAGATTCACATGACCACATAATTCCACCACAAAGGTCAAGAGGTCATGGGTCAGGTCACCTTCCTCCATTTGCGGGTCCCACATGCCAGCTAGAATGCCCAGTCTCTTATTAATAGGCTTACAATGAAACCCACAAGGTTCAACCACAAGATCGGATACACGGGGTCCACAGAGGCATTAAGATGCGGGGCTAAACCAGCACATCTGTCACACTTTAGTGTGTGTGTGTGTGTGTGGCTCTCCTTTAACACTGATTTTTCATTAAATCTATTAGAAACTACAAAAATGTCAGGTCAGGGTATGTAACTAAAAGACTGCATCCTTCCTGACAGAATATTCCATACCTGAACACAATTCCAAGCGAGAAGTGGGAAAACATATAATAATGTATGGTTGTTGCTTGCATGTTTTCACATATTGTAAAAAACTTTCACCAGTCCTCTTCATGAAGCTCATAATTTACAAATGAAGAGTTTATTTGCAAAAACAGATAACTCCGTTTTTGAACATTTTCAAAAATCACGTTTTTTATTGTTATCTTGTTTTTATTGTGTTTTATTGTGTTAGTTAGCTGTATTTTTTAGTTATTTTTTAACCTAATCAAAATAACCCAACTGCAGTTTGATTGAGATTATTTGGAATGCACAATGAAAAAACATGATTTTTGAAAACTGTTAAAAAGGGAGTTATCTGTTTTTGCAAATGAACTCTTCAAATTCAGTAACAACTTAGAATAGGGACCAATTCACTATTAACTAGTTGCTTATTAGCATGTCTATTATTAACATAATTGGCTGTTTATTAGTACTTATGAAGCACAAATTCTGCATGGCCATATTCTACATCCCCAACCCACCCAATACCTAAACTTAACAACTACCCTACTAACTATTAATGATCAGCAAATTAGGAGTTTATTAAGGCAAAAGTTATAGTTAATGGTTTGTTAATAGTGAGAACCTTAAAATAAAGTGTGACCACAAATTCATATAAAAATCCTTTAACATCCTCTTAATACAAGTAAGTGGTTAGTACTTTCACTACATCACTTCATGACGCTCCTTGAGTCAATCTTTGACATGAGGCACTGTCATGGAAATAAATATTTACCCATTAAAAAAAAAGTTTAGCTTTGATATCTGTATTTTCATTAATGTCAGTCTTACAGGAAGTTTCCTTGCCTCCTATTTCACCACAGCTGCTTTTTCAAAAAGTGCACAAAGTGAAAGTTATGACATTGATTTATTTTGCCAACTTGACCTTCATGGTTGAATGCAATTTAGAATTCAAAATGCCTTTTTCCCATGCAATTGCCATTTCTATGAGCAGTTTTTGACTGACCCACCCATTAATTGAGACTATGGCTATTACATTTGTATCAACCCAAAAACATGAAGTCATACCTACCCAATAATGAAACTGCCCTGAAATGACCCAGAGAATGTAATGCAGGGTGAACATATAACCCTCTTCTCTTACAAGACAAATGTCATTAAGGTAATAAGTGGGATAAAACATAAGATATGACCAAGTCAGGTGTGTCTGAGTGTGTTCCTCAAGTAAGACAGGAAAGAAAGTATTAATCTGGACATTGTTTAGTTGGTTTACATTGCTTGATGTTTCTGCAGCATTTGTCTGTCTGAAGTGGGGGCAGATGGGTCTTCCTGTGGAAGTTCTTGGGCCAGCTGGCGAAGAACAACGATGTGGGCAGTGTGTGTCTTAAGCATCGACTCCAACTCATCCTCACTGCTCCCCAAGACGTTCACTCCGTTAACCTCCACCAGCCTGAAACAGACATCCACATTCTCAGAACAACAACACTGACGGCAGTGCTAACGGGCACCATGTACCTATTTCATAAAGGGATCATTGGGTACTATCACTTTTTTACCAAATTAGCAGATTCTTAACAAAAGTATCAAAAGTTATACAGTTTTTGATAAAGGAAGAACACAAAATCCAAATCTTGACAGCTTTGACATCTTGATAGGTCAGTTTTAAAGACATGAAACGCACACACATACATACATCAATATATATTTTATATGTGTGTGTGTATCATATATATATATATATATATATATATACAGTGGGTACGGAAAGTATTCAGACCCCCTTAAATTTTTATTTTTACACACAGTACCCCCATTTTCAGGGGCTCAAATGTAATTGGACAAATAAATATAATCATAAATAAAATTTTCATTTTTTAAAATTTTGTTGAGAATCCTTTGCAGGCAATGACTGCCTTAAGTCTGGAACTCATGGACATCACCAGAGATTGGGTTTCCTCCTTTGTGACGCTTTGCCAGGTCTTTACGGCAGGTGACTTCAGTTGTTGCTTGTTTGTGGGTCTTTCTGCCTTTAGTTTTGTCTTCAGAAAGTGAAATGCATGCTCAATCGGGTTGAGATCAGGAGATTGACTTGGCCATTGCAGAATATTCCACTTTTTTCCTTCAAAAACTCCTGGGTTGCTTTTGCTGTATGTTTTGGGTCATCGTCCATTTGTACTATGAAGCGCTCTGTATTTACTCTCGTGAAGTCTTGATTGTAGACTTTGACAGCGACACGTCTACCTCCTGGAGAGTGTTCTTCACTTGGCTGGATGTTGTGAAAGGGATCCTCCGATCATCCACCACTGTTGTCCTCCGTGGATGTCCAAGCCTTTTTATGTTGCTGAGCTCACTAGTGCATTATTTTTCTCTCAGAATGTACCAAACTGTTGATTTGGCCACTCCTAATGTTCCTGCTATCTCTCTAATGGATTTGTTTTGTTTTTGAAGCCTAACAATTGTTTCACTTGCATGAGAGCTCCTTTGACCGCATGAAGTGGGTTCAGAGCAACAGCTTTCGGATGCAAATGTCACACTTAGAATCAACTCCAGGCATTTTACCTGCTTAACTGATGTAGAAATAATGAAAGACTAGCCCACATCTGTCCATGAAACAGCTTTTGAGTTGTAATTCTTTAAACTTTTCTCCAATTTTGATGAGAATACCCTCAAATTAAAGCTCAAAGTGTGCACTTTAAGTCCATATTGATTATATAACTGTTACTTGAATATGTTTTGGTCAGCAGCTAAAATAATAAAAATTGTGCCTCTGTCCAAATATATATGGAACTGACTGTATCTATATATGGAAGCAGCATTGGTGAAAAATAATTAAGGGGTAAAAAAAATCTTGGATCACATGAAAAAATATTTTTAAGCCTGTTAAATTTTTTGCATTCATTAGCTTTCATTTAATGCGATGTGTTTCTGAAAATAGGAAAATGACTTTTGCCTTTTTATTTGTTCACTGACTGTGAAAAGAGTTTTGCCAGAGGATTCTTATGTTTTGCCCCTCCCTTCCTCTGTTCCTCATCCAATACTTAATTGTGTTTATGTACATGTGTTTGCATGTATATAGTTATGCGTTCTGTAAAAAAACTAGCTCACAAATGGAATATGTAAACTGCATGGCCATGTATTATTCATGTTTTTATCTGTTCCTTGTACGTAGTCGTCCAAGTTTTACATTTCAGTGTTTTCCTGTTATGCTCCCTGTCTCCTACAAATTTCCATAGCAACAGAGGGAAAAAAAACAAAAGCTGATGGAACCTCTGTGATCCTCTCTGTTCTTAAAGGCTGGAAAATTTGGGATGTCCCTTGGCATGTTTTATGAAAGGCCGATTAGAGGCTTAATTCATCAAAACATCTACTGCACTAAAATGACCTCTTTGATCTCACATTCTTTCACATTTCAGTTGTTTTTAAGACTATGACCCAAAGGTTATGGTTGGTGGAAAGAATAGATCACCCAAAAATGGTGTTCCAGTTTTCATTTTTGGGTGAATTGTTCCTTTAAAGGTTTCTGTAACATTTTGGTGCAGGTAAAGAAAAGCTTGAAAACATGCTAAAAAGATTAATAATATAGTTTTAAACATTCATTAAAAGATGTTTTTTTAATCAATTGTGCTGACAATTACCTGTCATTCAGGCAGAGATTAGCACCCTCACTATGTACCACCATCAGACCCTGGCCCTCTACCCAGTGCGCAGAGAAACCGTAATGACCGCCTGGGTCTGCTTTCACTTGGGTGGCCACCAGCATGACAGGAGACTGCAAAGAGACCAGCTGAGTCAGAGTAGGGCTCTTCCTCTCGGCTTTCTCCTGCAGGAAAAGAAAAAAAAACTGTTGAACAAGCATCAAAAGCAGTGAATAGCTGGCGGCACTGCTCTCATTTTATAGTAACAGAAGTGGAGAGCCAAAGGATCTGTCCTTGAAACAACACTTTTAAAAGTGTGAAGTGTTAAAGCTGACAGCCTCCATCGTCTGACTGCTGTAGAGAAAACGAGCTTCATTATTTGTGGAGTAAGCGGATTTAAAATTAAGTTGTCATCACACATACTAATGGCGTGTGAATTAGGAGAGAACATTCCATAAATTGAAAAAAAAAATGGGTGTAGAAATAATTTCCAGTCAAAAATTGCTAGCAAATTTCACAAACAATTACAAAAGTAAACACATTGAATTTAATGTGAAATAGAACATTTTTCATTTCTTGTAAAATATACTCATACGTACAACTTCAAAAATTATGTTTACAGTGTACTCATTAAACTCTTTTTTGTATTATTTTCGGACCTTTTTTCAGACTTACAGTATCTTTCTTATAAGGCATACGTAAGTATTATAAGTAACAATTCTTATAAGGCATAAAACAGGTCAAATGTAATATATTTAAAATACAGTATAAATGTATATACAAAATGAGCTGGTCACTGAAGGGGCCAAAACGTGTCATGACTCATGATGACTAATGAGTCCATCACTGGTAAACATGCAGGATCACATAAACCCACACCCCCAAACCAATAGCTGAGACAGAGACTGAATACAGGAAATGAGTGAAAAGATAGATGGAGAGTGATCAAGTTTCTCTGAACATGCAGCAGAAAGCCGAGGTGAGGGCTCGAGTCTCCTAGCGTGTGAAAGCCCTGTGGCCAAGGCTACTGAGCCTCTCCCCAGACAGGGGCACCAGACGGCTCGCTCACACAGGAAACCCCCCTGCAGAAATCCTTAGGAACCCTTATCACCCCACTGTTTGGATTCCCTAGGGCAGGCCACATAGCTCGGGCCTCGCTCATTTATTTAAGAGAAGTAGCAAAAGGGCAGGTACTTGGTCAACTTTAATTTGCTCGTATTATCATCCTGTGAGGTGAGGGAATAGCTACTGGCCACAGAGCAAACAGAAACAAGAGCAAGCTGAACAATGGAAATACAGAATATAACTTGGCAACTGTCTTTTAAACCGTAGAGGATTGGGAGGTGCTGCGCGAAGAACAATCGGTTGAGAAACGGGCACACCTTCAGAAATCCCCTAACTCTTATGAGATGGGAGAGGAAGCCGTGCCAAGCCCCGGATTGTAGGATTGTGTTTCGCATGAGACTGAATACAGGAAATGAGTGAAAAGATAGATGCAGAGTGATCAGATTTCTCTGAACATGCAGTAGAAAGCCGAGGTGAGGGCTCGAGTCTCCTAGCGTGTGAAAGCCCTGTGGCCAAGGCTACTGAGCCTCTCCCCAGACAGGGGCACCAGACGGCTCGCTCACACAGGAAACCCCCCTGCAGAAATCCTTAGGAACCCTTATCACCCCACTGTTTGGATTCCCTAGGGCAGGCCACATAGCTCGGGCCTCGCTCAATTATTTAAGAGAAGTAGCAAAAGGGCAGGTACTTGGTCAACTTTAATTTGCTCGTATTATCATCCTGTGAGGTGAGGGAATAGCTACTGGCCACAGAGCAAACAGAAACAAGAGCAAGCTGAACAATGGAAATACAGAATATAACTTGGCAACTGTCTTTTAAACCGTAGAGGATTGGGAGGTGCTGCGCGAAGAACAATCGGTTGAGAAACGGGCACACCTTCAGAAATCCCCTAACTCTTATGAGATGGGAGAGGAAGCCGTGCCAAGCCCCGGATTGTAGGATTGTGTTTCGCATGAGAAAGGCTTCCGGACTCGGTTAGAAAAGCGTGGCTGGTATTAATGATATAAGTGAGGCACTGTCAGTTACAATAACGGATTCGCAGGGTGTAGTGTTGCATGCAGTAAAATGGCAACCCCAAGATGGACTATAAATCCCTAAGAGAGCCAAATGCTGCCACAACTATTAGCCACTGGGCCCTTAGCCACCAGTGCAGCTCAACACGGTAACCGCCAAGACATCGGGAAGAGGGAACAATCAAAGTGAGCCCAACTACTGGGAGCTCTCGAGTCTCGACCACCTTTCCCATGAGAATAGTGAAACCTAATCCGAGTCTGCAACCACGACTGAATCTCTGGCCTGAAGGCCAGTGTATTGCAATTGAAATAAAAAAGAGAAGATTAGAAAAGGTTTGGGCCATATTATTTAGAGGGGTTTTCCCCTAAATCCCTGTATTTTAGTTTGAGACCCCACGTTTGCTGCTACGTTACTTTTCGCTCTATTTCAACAACTCCTCCCCGCCTTCTTCCTGTCTTTTCTGATGCACTGCAGTCGCGACGGATTGCGGAGATTAGAGGCGATGATAAAATATTTCCTTATTGTCAGATAATCTAGGGAAAATAAATGGCAGCCTGCTCCTTATTAGGGCCTAGGCTTGTATTAGTTCCCAGACTGCTCTGTGTCCTGACCTGCGCCTTTCCCCTGATTAGGTCATATGATAAACATTAGCGCCACTGCCTCTTTCCCACCAGCTCAGCACCTAAAGACTGTGGCCTGAGGGCGGCAACGTGACACGCTCTTTTCTTGCAAAGCCCCGGTCGGCATGTGTCCTTTCATGGCACCTCGTTAGGTCTCTACCGATGAGATGAAAGAGCCGCTTTTAGAGGACGGAGGTGGGAAAGAATCACAGGTACGGCCACGACATGGATAGTTTTACACTAGCATTTCATGTCATCCTGGCTTTTGAAAAATGAGTGGCGTTGGTGCCAATGACTCAATGTTGTGGTGACTATCATTGTGAAATGACAATCAATTTGCTTCCCATGTAGATTTGTTTAAAAAGTTTGAAAGATGGCAAAAGGAAAAACAGAGGTAACTTATATAATCTGACTTATACTCATGTCGATTAACTGTGTTCATTTTCCCCCAAAATGTTTTTGTATGTCCAACAAAGTGCTTGCATACTGGGAAAAGCCAAGACTGTAATGCTCACATTAGTACCATATGTTCAGCCTCATTAAAATGTGGTCTAAAATAATAACTACTGGCCTGCGTTCACATGTCAGCACTATATCATTTCATACTGCACCAGGAAACTCTGAAAACCTTGAGAAAATAGATCGGGGGTTCCAGTCTCACCTTGGCCTGCATCTTCTCCAGAACTTCACGTAGGTGAGCCACCTGTCGATTGAGGTGGACTAGTGTGATCTCGTCTTTAAACACCTGGCAGTTTAGCCTCATCTTCTCCAGAAGTCGGACCTCTGACGGCCTAAGGAGTAAACAAACACAAGTTGCTCCCTTGAGCTCTCTTAAAGGAATAGTTCCCCTAAAAATGTCAATTCTGTCAGGACCACTATCGTCAATATAACTTACGATTAGCATACATTTTAGGTTGGGGGAATGGTTCTGTTCTGGGCAAACACTCCCTGCCCATCCATGCAGCCTAGCAGGGAGAGCAGAATACCCCCCCTAGGGTAACAGTACAGAACCAACATCAATGATAAATGTAGCAGATACCATTAATGTTCTACGTGATTATTTTAACAACATGATTCAGTGGTCTGACTCAATGAAAATGTGGTCTAAAATAATAACTACTGGCCTGCGTTCACATGTCAGCACTATATCATTTCATACTGCACCAGGAAACTCTGAAAACCTTGAGAAAATAGATCGGGGGTTCCAGTCTCACCTTGGCCTGCATCTTCTCCAGAACTTCACGTAGGTGAGCCACCTGTCGATTGAGGTGGACTAGTGTGATCTCGTCTTTAAACACCTGGCAGTTTAGCCTCATCTTCTCCAGAAGTCGGACCTCTGACGGCCTAAGGAGTAAACAAACACAAGTTGCTCCCTTGAGCTCTCTTAAAGGAATAGTTCCCCTAAAAATGTCAATTCTGTCAGGACCACTATCGTCAATATAACTTACGATTAGCATACATTTTAGGTTGGGGGAATGGTTCTGTTCTGGGCAAACACTCCCTGCCCATCCATGCAGCCTAGCAGGGAGAGCAGAATACCCCCCCTAGGGTAACAGTACAGAACCAACATCAATGATAAATGTAGCAGATACCATTAATGTTCTACGTGATTATTTTAACAACATGATTCAGTGGTCTGACTCAATTATATATTCACTGCCAAGTCCTGACTGGACGAGAGGAGGAGCTGGGGATGGAGGTGGGTGATTAGTTCCTGAGCGAAGCGAAGCGATAGCTGCTGAATAATGACTGAAGGGACCTTATGAAGGGAATTATGATTGGTGTCGTGATCCTATAGGTAGACGTGGATCAGCTGAGTATGCGAGCTTGACTAACATGGCCTGCCAGAACTATTGCTACTCTCCATTTCTGAGAATTTTTATCCCCATATTGACTTAAATTTTGGTCTGTTCTTCCCACAAAGCTACTGTACGGCTTCAGAAGACTTGGAATATAGCGCACAAGTTATATGAACCAGTTTTATGACACGTTTATTGTTTCAAGCAGTTTGGACCTTGAAAGTCCCTCTTTACATACAAAAGATTTTTCAATATTTTCCTAAATATTAACCTCTTATATTCAGAAAACAAAAAGCCATAAGGGTTTGGAACAACATGGGAGTAAATTATGACTGAATTTTTATTTTTAGAGAACTATTCCTGTAAGCTTTGTCTTGGATTAGGAAGCTCATCTGAACAGACTTCCAATGTTCTGTCACTTTATATCAAAGATTAGGCTTTTTTATTATTCTGCGGCTCGATCTTAAATAAATGTAAGCGGTCTAAGCCTCTCATGTTCTAAGACCCAAATATCTTAGATTAATGTCACCCAAAAACCCTGAAACTTGAAAGATTTGTTTGCATTTTGCTGGGGAAATGGTCAAGCACTTGAAGGACATAACGTAACAAAAAACAATAAGCCTTCAACTTAAATGGCTTATCAGGTAATTAATGAGGACTTGGACATATTGATTCATGATGGTATTTTCTCACACCCTTATCCATTCCTGCTTTCAATCTGTTCAGCTCGAAAAGATGTCAGAATAAATCAAAGGCCGTAATGCTGAGAAAAAGCAGGAAACTACTAGGTGAGACCCACATCGGCTTTTTCCTCAAACACCCTCTCTTTATTTGCACACCTCATAAATTAAACAGGTACGGATTCCCATTTTGCAAAGGTAACTGCTTTCATATGATAAGGCTGGTCCTTAAAAAATTCAGCTTTTGTGTTCCATTTTTAAAAAATAATCATGAAACATCGTAACGGTGAGTAAATAATGACAAAATTGTCATTTTGAGGCAAACTATTCCTTTAAACATCGTCAGAACCATGAATATGTTAAGAAATGACATTAAACATTGGCATGATGGGTCCAATCATAAGGTGGATTTGGGAGCAGCTTTCTCAGCACTTCAGGAAATTAGGAAAGATTTGTGGACTACCCATTACCCTCATCCAAATGACCTTCAGCACTGACGCCACAGAAAAATAAACTGTAAACAGAGCATTAAAAATCACAGGATTTACTGTACACTCTCTACAAGTAAATTACACTAAGGGCATCCAAAACCAGCTCTGATCATCAGTTCTTCCAGCCTCTCCTTCTGGAAGACGGAACACATCATTATCCATAAAGACCAATGCATTGATGAACAGTTCCTATCCCTTTTCCTGTTCCCTGTGATAATCCCATATAATTACCCAACGGCTTTGTATTAACCTCCAGAACATTCTATTCTGATTTATTCTATTCTATGGTAAGAGCATATACTTACTTATTCTTCTGCACTGGTGCAGTGTTAAGATTGTCCCTGAGTGTTTGGAGGCTCTGTCTTTTCCTCTGCAGATTGTCCTGGGTCTCACTGAGAAGCCTCTTCACTTCAAAGCTGTCTGTTTGCACTGCATCCATCTCCCCCTCCATCTTCTTCAGCTCTGAACAGAAGGCTACCAGACCATGGTAAAGCTCCTGAACCTGGTTATCATACAGACACAGATCAGCTAAAAGCAATAGTGGAAAACAGTTAGATGTCAAATTTTTTCCCTTAGGGTAGGTTTATTTTTACAAGTCTATTTCTGCGTAAGAACATACCTCTAAATTTCGGCTACAAAAAAGCTATTGAACATTTCCACTGCCCAGGAAAAAAAAGATGCGGTTCATTGAATACACACAGACCCTGTGATGACATGCTCCAAAACTAGACACAATTCTAAAATATTCGTTTTATGACAAAATTCACAAAAATTGTTCTTATTTAAGAGGGTTTTGAATAAGAAACCAAGAAGAAATCCATTACTAGAGAAAAAAGGATTAGCATAATTGGAGTTTTAACTCAAAAAACCTATAGTTCCCTGTGTGACAACCAGCCCCAGTGTTTATTTACAATGGTGAAACAGAAGACAGGATGCATTTACTTGTATGATGACGTTTTGAAGGGAGGCCACCTGTTGATTTAGCTCTTGAATCTTCCCAGTGTTGTTTAGCAGAATTTTTCTCTGAATATTGTCAGTGGTACAAATAATGTTGTTATCTGATGAATAAGAACCCGCTTTCTGTGTTTCCTACAAGTTTTGAGAGGCAAAAGTTTAATCTTAAATTAAATACGTTTATCTCCTAAGACAGTTATGTTTGTGTTTTTTTACTACATTGAAATACTCAGCTAAAACATGCAATTCTGTCTACCTTCCTATATAAGTGAAGCTCCATTAGTCTCGTCTCTGAGCCAGGCAAATCTCCAATCTGCTGCTCAGGGGAGAACTCATCTGAAAAACATGGAAAAATAGAGACGGTATGTAAAAGTAAATTCACTGTGTAAATTCCAGAGCACTTACAAGCCACAAGCCATATATGATTCTCTCCAAACGCAAGACTAAATGGCTGATCTTTTCCAAAGAAGACAAATGAAAAAGCCCTAAAAATAATACAATAAATTTAGCGTTAGTCAGATTGAACTGATAAATGTTTAATACATACTCTACAAGGATTTTATGTGTATATGTGTGTCTTTGCATTATCCCAAAGGACACACTAATGAACATGCTAGGCAAATATCCATCATTATTTTATAATCTGCTTTACTGTAATTAATATACAAGTATTCGATTTTACATGATTCTTATACAAAGACATATGCACATACAGTAGATATTTTACTCCTTTTTGCTTTTTTATATACAAAACCTTCACTGCTTTTCAGGTTGAAGTGATCTTTGTCTTCATTAATTCCCAGCATCCTCAGACAGGACTCCACCACTTTTCCCACACTTGTCTCTTTGGGTGTCCTTAAATGAACTGTTCGATCTGAGGCTAAATCAAAATAGACAGATACAGGCGTTTGTAAAACTTTAAAATTAATTTTAAAAATGATATGCTGAAATGTTACATGGAACAAAATCACATGGACAGAATTTTACCATTGACTGTAATTTCAATGAGATGCGAGTTCTTGTGAAATCTTGCATTTTGTTCTTTCGGTCTGTGAGAGAGAACAGGGTACATATTCAGGTCAACCTGTAAATACTGTTATGAAAATGTCATTTTGGAAATGATTTGTGATTATGCAGTGTTTTACATTCTATATAAAAGGACGATCTACCTGAATTTGAATGAACATCGGTTCATGTTGATGCTGCCAACTTGAGGAGAAGATTTTGACTTGGTCATGGAAACCAAAGCTGCTGTGAATTTCTCAACATTGTGTGGACCAAATCTTTCTTTTGGGGGAAAGAAAACAAGTTCGTTACCAGAAGTTTGCAGACAAAGTACTTAGATGTGGACTCAAACAGTTCATGGTTGTATTATGGTACCAAGGAGGGAGTCGAGTCTTTGGGTGGTGGAGTTTGGCGGGTGTAACTCATGGTAAATGGCAGACAGCAGCCTCTCTCTCTCCTCCAGACTGGACACTTGAAGGATTTCGAGGGTGTTGAGATCAATAGAAGCGATGTGAGATCCACTGAACTCTGCCTCTGTAAAGTTTGATCCACCCAAAGCCACAACATTATTATTAACATCTCTTCAAACCGTTGCTTATGATAAATAACACTAATGGATCTCTAAAATAGCTCTTTATTGGTTTGAATATGTTACAAATAGGCCTTGCAAATCATTAGCTGGAAATGGTAAAAGTCTCTATGGTGTTGTATTAGCTAGTAAATGTTGCTTTTCCTCTTGATGATGCATGGAAATACATTTCAAGCTGATGCAATAACTTAAAAGTGCAAATGAGAAAGTAATACATAATCTGAACAGTTATTGGTTTGCGGCTATGCATTTGTCTCTTAGAATGTTTGGTGAATTTAAACATTTAAAAAGGGTGGGAATATGACTAAAACAAATGTGCAAAATGTACTTTACCTCGAATGAAGGGCAGGCATTTCTGTAGACCAATATTACTAAACCACTGGCAAACCTCCTCTGTGTTCAGCTCTGCTAAAGTTTTGGCTCTGTACCCATTAGAATCCCACTAAATACAGACAGATACAGTCAAACATACAAATGAAGTTCTCTACATGCATGCATGTATACACATAACTTGAAATACATTTTCATGAACATACCCCTGCACATTCACAGAGAATTAATGCAATGAAAGATGTGTCCACACAAAAAAGACCAATTTAGGACATTCCACCCTTTTAACCATGGAGAATTTTCTGCACTCCTATGAAAGATTCAGCATGAGTGTACTTGTGTATACCCATGCTCTGAGGCATCTTACATAATGTGAATGAACAAAACTGCATTATCATCAAAACCAAAACTACTTGAGAAACTGAAGTAGAAAATAAAAAAGAGAATATTTTTCACAGTCTTACACACACAAAATTGTGCCTTACCTTCACTACACTTTTTCCAGTATGGTCCTTGGACTGAGGAATGTACGATGCTGGGAAGAGGAAAAATAACAGGTCTAGCTGGTGGACCATCTTAGGAATCCTATTCACCAGCAAAGCTTGGTACTGGTTAAGCTATTTAAAGGGGTCATATGATGTTGCTAAAAAGAAAATTATTTTGTGTATTTGGTGTAATGAAATGTGTTTATGCGGTTTAAGGTTAAAAAAACACATTATTTTCCACGTACTGTACATTATTGTTTCTCCTCTATGCCCCGCCTTTCTGAAACGTGGCGATTTTTACAAAGCTCATCGGTCTGAAAATCGAGGTGTGCTCTGATTGGCCAGCTATCCAGTGCATTGTGATTGGCCGAATGCCTCAAGCGTGTGACGGAAATGTTTTACGCCCCTTACCATATTGTGATGCTGTGTCCCAGAGCGACGAGACAAAACCAATAAAACCCATTATAAACGAGGCATTTGTTGCATCTAGTGGGGACGTAATTACAGATTATAATGACTTATACTGTCTTTTTACGCATTGCGTTGCATCGCGCAGATCATCAGTGGAATGATGATCTGAATGGGTGCCACATTCTCCCCCCCAGGATGAAACAACCCATGGTTGTTAGGAGAAAAGGTCTTTTTTTGTTGTAGTTCCGGAGTTGTCGATGTTGGGCTTTTCTGATACTCTCTTTAACTTGAGATTGCAGTTGTTGTATGTGAGAGACTACGTCATAGGAGGTGGTGTCAGGAGTGAGATTTGGACCGTGCAGTATTTTATCCATTGGCCCTTTCAGTTTCCTTCCAAGCTGCAGTTCTGCTGGAGTTACTCCAGTGGTTTCCTGGATGAGTTAATGGTGAATCTCATCTATGGTAAGAACTGGTCCCATTTTTTGTGGTTGTCGTCCACATATGACGCAATCATATTTTTGAGAGTTCTATTCACACGTTCCGTCATGTTTGTCTGAGGGTGATATGCTGTGGTTAACTTCGGTGTCACTCTCCATTTTTCACATACTTCTCTGAACACAGATGAGACAAACTGGGTGCCTCTATCAGAAAGAATGAAGTCTGGAACTCCCCAACGAGTTAAGATTTATTTTCTGAGAATTGTTGCAATACTTTGAGCGGTGGCATGACACATGGGGAAAAACTCAACGTGAGTAATAATCAACGAAAACCAGCAAGTACTCATTTTGCTGTGTACTCCGGGGTAGTGGACCCATAATATCAACTCCCAGCATTTCGGTTGGTTTAGTGGTGGTAATTGATTGGAGTTTCCCCGCAGGTTTCTGGTTATCATGCCGAAGGGTTTGGCATTTCACACATTCCCTGACAAGATGTTTTACGTCCGTCCACATCCCTGGCCAAAACGTTACTTCCTGGAGCCGCTTATAGGTCTTATAAATTCCTCTATGGCCACTCAGGGGATGTGAATGATAGTGCTGCAGGAGAGTTGGCCGGAGACTGCTGGGAACATACACTCTATAGTGTATTTGATCATTCTTCAGGTGAGTTTTATGATACAACTTGTCCTCTACCACTTCATATTGGTCCATCTGAGGGCTTTGTTCTTCTGCCACTGCTTGTAATAACTTTGTTATTTCACAGTCTTTATGCTGTTCCTCCCACAGGACAATATCTGTCACTGGAAGCTCTGGGTGTTGGTCCATCTTTTGCTTGGTGTAAATTGCTGTGATGGGAGAATTTGCTGTGATTGATGACCTGGACAAAGCATCAGGGGCGACGTTTAATTTCCCTTTACGGTATTCAATGACGCAGTTGAATTTTTGCAGTCTCAGGACCCATCGGATGAGGCGGATGTTGGTTTTAGTGGATCCCATGACCCATTGCAGGGCGGAATGATCTGTGACAACCGTGAAAAGTTTGTATTCAAGGTAGTGTTGCCACTTTTCTAAGGCCCATATAACTGCCAGACACTCTTTTTCTGTTGCCGTGTAGTTGAAGCTTATGCAATAACCTCCTCCCTGCCTGGATCTTTCCTCTGTGTGAGAATGGCACCCAGTCCAGTGTCACTGACATCTGTATATACAATGAAAGGAACTTGAAGATCAGGGTGGCCGAGAATAGGAGGCGAGGTAAGGCATGCTTTTAACTGCGTCGACAATTTAAACACCTGTCCCTTTTTTTCAGGGAATTGAGGGGCTCAGCAATTTTAGAAAAATTTGGCACAAACCGGTGGTACCAACTGGCTAATCCCAAGAACCTCTGAACTTCCTTCAAGGTGTTGGGAGCAGGAAAGGCACGAATGGCCTCAACTTTACTTGGATCGGCTGTGATGCCCTTAATGCTCACCGTTAAGGCTCACTGATTTCTGGAAGAAAAAACTTGCACTTTTCCAAGTTAATAGTCAAACCGGTAATTTCCAGCCTGTGGAGAACGGTTTTCAGATCACAGATGTGCTGGGCCACTGAGGGAGAATAAATAATGATGTCGTCAATATAGACAATGCATATTTTCGTTCTTAGCTCCCCCAGGACTCTCCATCAGCCTCTGGAAGGTCGCAGGTGCGTTTTTTAACCCAAAAGGCATAAAATTGAAGTGATATAGACCTGCAGACACGATAAAAGCAGTCTTGGCTTTACTATCAGGGTCCATTATCACTTGCCAATATCCGCTGTTGAGGTCTATGGTAGAGAAAATGGATACCCCGGAGAGGGATTCTAGGATCTCCGTGATGTTTGGGAGAGGGTAAGCGTCATTTTCTGTAGTTGGATTGACTTTACGGTAGTCCACACAGAACCTTAACTTTCCATTTTTCTTTGGAACCAGAACTACCGGTGAGGCCCAAGCAGAATGTGATGGCTGCACAATTCCCTCTTGCAACATTACCTCCAATTGTTCCTCCATTGCTTGTTGTTTGACAGGGGATAACCGATATGGCCGTTGTTTGATAGGAACCTGGCAGGTGGTATAGATATGATGTTGCAGAACATTCGTTCGCCCAGTTTGGTGAGTACATACTCGTGGGTTGCGTAGTTGTCGCTTTCCATCCATGGGTAGATGTGCTTTACTTACAGCGTCTCTAATTAATGTTGCATCGTCCACATTGTCAAAGTGTAACATGGTCAAGGAGGGTTGGGGAGGAGGAACAGCACTTAACAAGGTCAAGTTTAGTTTACTTTTGCTGGTTCTTTTCCCTTCCTTCATTGTTGGTGAGGTAAACAGTGGTTCACTGGCATTTCCAGGTTGAAATGGATGTTCTTCAGCAGGGTCAGACTCTAAATAATATTTTTGTTCACTGACATTAATTTGCAGGCCACTGAAAAAGATGAAGTCCAAACCCAGGATGATGGCATAAGCTAGAGCTTGAGAGGGAAGGACAACAGCAGGTACTGTAATGGCTTTATCGTGCAGATGAATATTAATGTTTATCCATCCTAGAGGACTCTCAGCTTTGTCATTAGCCAGGTAAAGAGGACCACAGGACCAAGGTTGAAGCTGAACAGATGTTGCAATTTGCTTCATGAGACTCTTGTGAATTAACGTGTAGCTTGCTCCAGTATCCACAATCGCTTTCCCCGACCAGGATCCAATGCTAATTGGAACTACTAATTGTTGTGGTATGGTCATGAATACATTCGATCTTGAAGGGGTTGAAATCTGAGTTTCTACTTGTGCCTGGGGTATTTCAGAGGCTGCTACATTGTTATTGGATGGTCATCCTCCTGACTTTGCAGAGTGATGAGAATACTTTCCATGGGTGAAATGTTGTTGACCAGAAGACTGCTGGGAAGGTGGATGTACAAACATTGGGCAGTTGCCTGGAGGATGTGGTCCATTACATCTCCAACACTGAACAGGCGGTTTCTCAGCAGATCGGTTAGATACATGTTTTTGTGAATTGGGTTGTTGTTTAAAGCCCACACGACCTTCATACCGAAGCTGTTCTTCATGATCTTTTTCCAGTTGGTGTCCGAGTCTAACCAGATCTTCGACAGTATTAACACGACTGCGCAGCTGGCTTGCAAGGTAAGGCTTGATATTTTTTAAGATCATTTTGACAATCTCGTTTTTATGTTAACGTGGCTTTCCATCTTTTACACAGTGCTCGATAAGTGAATGCAAAGTCTCTTACTGATTCTGTCTCCCCTTGAACTCTAGTGCGGACACGTTCAGTCAGCTCGTCCTCATAGTCCTCAGACAAAAAAGCAGAGAGGAACGCAGTCTCAAACTCCTTCCAAGTGTTTATATTGGAGCAATTTACTTCCCACCAGTCACGTGCAGTGCCATGCAACACTGTGCAGAAGGTAGCCAGGAGATCTGCATCTGTCAAAGGATGTAGGGCTAGAAAATCTTGACACTTGGTCAAGTACAACAGGGGGTCAACATCATCGTTAGGCCGCCCAAACGTGGGAAATGTTAATTTAATGTGGTCACTTTTGACCAGAGGCATTGGTAGAGGAGTTGAAACAGTCTCTATTGGGGGTGTACTAGAAACTGGAGTTGTTTTTTCTGTTTGCCCTTCAGCCTTTTCGTCATTGAACACTTGGAGATCATTTCGCAGCTCAGCTACACAAGTACGACATTTGTGAATTTGTGTTTCACATTGCTGAAGATTTGTGGTTACATGATCAAGGCTACCCTGAATTGTGCGTTGGATAGCTTTGATATCCTGTTGTACCTCCACCTGCAGCTGTTCCAACTTATCCCGGACTACAGAGGTGAAGGATAGTTCAATTTTTTAAATTTCCTTTGCGATCATCAGTTGCACAGCCTTAATTAATTGGTCGGCCTCGGCTGCCTCTTGATGTTTAGCTGCAGTCATTAAGGTGACAACCTGTTGATTGTTGGTCTCCACCTTAGCTGCAAGATCGGTGATCTGGTGCTCATGGTGAGAAGATGAGGCCTTGAATACCTGGGTAAGCTCATTTACAGTTTTCTCCTGTCTTTTCATGAATTCCATCAGATTGTCCCAGTTACCTTGCACATTAGCATTAAATTGTTGAATTCCCTTCCCAGGGGTTGAAAGGATGCCAGGCAGATCATGCTGAGCCAATGAAGGAGATGTAACATCCATAGATGTACAAATTTGCATGCGGTCATCTTGTGGGGCCCAAGTGAGAGGTTGCACTGGGGTGCTGCCTCCAAGAGCAGGGGAGAGCATCTGCACCTGGGTTCCAGAATAGGTGAAACTGTGTGGAGTGGAAATGTTATACATGGTTGGGTCACGTGGAGGAAGTCCTGAAAGAGTCTGAGTTTGGACAGGAGGTGGCCAAATTGGAGTGGAAATACTAGGGACATCAGGTGCATCAATATCCACATAGGTGGAAGGTGGGGAAGGGGAAGTGGCCATGTCTTGTAATGTGTGGGAATATTTGAAATGTTGGGAATAAAATAAAAAATGAAAGAAATTCAAGATCTGTGTGTGTGTGTTTGGGGCAACAGGGGCAAAATACAATACAAAACAAAAACAAAACAATAAACAGTTCTTTACTCGACTCTCAGACCGAAAGCCTAAGGGTGGCTAAGAGTGACTCGGGAACATCGGCGGCGTCAGCCGGTCTTGCTCCTTCCTTTTTGACAGCTCCCAGTCACTGATTTTGGGTGCGAAACTCCAGTTCAATCCCAGAATTGACAAAGAGGCATTCGCCAAGAGAAATGCCCGTTAGCAACAGGCTAAACAGGTAGCACCACCTCCTCTCCAACATCTCCGGAAACGCACACTCCGAAAGATCCACCCGCAAGGACTGCCTCCACAGGGAACGTAACACAGATTCTGGTCAGTCCAACCTCCTCCAGTCTCTAAACCTCGCCCTATATACATATACTCCTCCTCTTAATTGGTCCTCACCTCCAATCATAATGTATTTTAGTTGGAGGGCGGTGACAGAGAAAATCAAAGTAAACAAAGGGGCAGTACGGAAAATATCTGTAATGCCACAAACTTTAGGGATCTTTTCTATTCACGAACAGCTTGTAACACTCCAAAGAGAAAATAAAACTTGAAATCGCATCATATGAACCCTTTAACCAAGAAAGCTTTTCTGGTTACACTAGTTAAAATGTCTAGTGGGAAGCCTCTACACAGCCTTTGTAATTCAGGCAATGGGTCACAATATAAGTTCACATCACATCTTTACCAACAGTTATCCTTCTTTGGCGTGGGGATTCCTCATCTTCAAGGATCTCATCTCTTCCTTGACATGTGGAGTGAAAGGTATGACTTCTTGGCACCGTATCGCCCAAACTACAGGACCTAGTGGCTGGTTTCTGTGACAGGATGACAAACAAGAGCATTCATACTTGTAAAACCCTTTTAAATGATATATTCCATGTGAAATCTAGATTATGTTAATGGGTTATATTAAACAGGTACCATTTGTAAAGGTAATGCTGAGTGATTTTACCTTTTGGTGTGTTAACATGCTTATCTTACTGCTCAGCGGTAGTAGCCTCAACTCTTCCTTTAGCAACTCATGGCTGCAGGCATCCTTGTTGCTCAGGTCATCTAAATGAGTAAAACAACACATCACCAAGATGTCAGCACATTTAGCAGATGTCCTCTGAGCTGATGGGAAAGAACTTTTGGATCCAGAGAAGCCCTAACTCTATCTGGGTCATTGAGTCCATCTCTGGGAAACAAAACAAGTAGAACTTCAAGCTAACATGGGAAAAATTGGTCCCAAACTCAAGTCTGGACAAACCAGAGCTCCATATTTGGTGTATTGTGCTCTGTGGAACACACTTGAAAGCTTGGTTGGAATTTGTGTCAAATTAATAATGTCAGCCGGAAACAGCTACTTAATCTCTGTATGCTAGTGCTAATAATTGAGCTAATAATGTTGAGGACGGAATTAAAGTGTTTTCTTTTCACTATGATTGTTTTTACACGGGCTCTGTAGCATCAGTCATCCCTGATTTATCATGAGCCTTGTCTGCACACTCTGTAAATACATGGCAACACACAGCAAACCACACTGCGATACTGTGGGATGTTGCAAAACTAGGCTGAGAGTGAAAAGGACAAGCCAGGGACTGTCTGGCCAGTGGCATACTTTAGTGACCAGTGACATGCTATGTTTTCCCACAGACAGCAGACATTCTAACTTTCCCATAACCGCACTGCTTTCAGAATCCCCTCCCTTTCCTTCATAAAAAAAGCAGGAAAAACAAACAAGTGCTGGGAATTGACACACTGAAATGATGGTCTTAAGACCTGTTAAAAGTCCACTCTCTGATCCCTGTTGATTCTGCATAACAGGGAGCCGTATGTGTTGGGCATCAGTGCCAGGTTTGTACTGTACATTGCCTAAGGAATATTACTGACTTATATCAGTTCATTAGTTAAATATTAAGTGGAACATGGTGGAACGGTATATCATAGAGATCTGTTTTTTGGGCCTATAGATTCATCAGTTGTGCAATACATATTCTACACAACCAACACAAACTTAAAACATCACAGATAAACTGATCATTCACAACAATAACACCTCCCTCTCCGGATTTCCTTACTGGGAGACCTCAGACATTCGAGATATACAGTATAACTGGCAATAACTGGTCTGGCGCCATCATGCTGAGCACTGGAACCCCACGGGGCTGTTGTTGACTAATGACTCACGACTGTACTGCCAAACACAGTACAAACCGCATCATCAAGTTCAAGGATGACATCGCAGCAGTGGGCCTCATCAGCGACAACGATGAGTCAGAATGGAGCATCCAGTAGACTGCTGTGCAAACAACAATTTGTCTCTAAATGTTGATAAAACAAACTGACACTGCAATGACCACCTCCCATGGCACATCAATGGGTCTTCTGTAGAGACAGTTAGGATGGAGACGTTTCTGGGTCTGCACATCACATACCACCTCACTAGCCAAAAAAGCACAGCAGCATCTCTTTGTGCGGTGACTGAACAGGGCAAACATCCCCCCACCCATTCTCACCACATTCTACAGAGAAACAATTGTAAGCATACTAACAACATGGTTTGGAAATTGCAATGATTCAGACCTCTAGGCCCTGCAATGCCTTGTAAAAACAGCTGAGAGAATTATTGGAAGCTCACTCCCTCCCATATCAGACATTTGCCACAAACAGTGTGTGAACAGGACCTAGAGCATCACATAAGACCCCATCCGTCCCTCCAATGAACACTCTGACCCGTAAAAAGGCATACTAGATAGCCAACAGAGAGATTTGACAGACTTTGCAACAGTTTTTTTCCCTTAAAGCTCCTCAATGCCCTGACACTTACATAACATTGAATTAGCACATCTACAATGACACATTTTGACTATTTCAGCATCTATTTAATGTGGATAAGCAACAGCGGGTACACGTCAGCAGTGTGGATGCACTTCTCCATAACCAAAAAATGATGCTAGAAATGCAATATGTAAATTTGTTCTGCTGAAATATAAAGATGAGATCAGTTCATACCATTTTTACTAATACCAGTCCTTTGCAATACAATTTTATTATTATAATTTCTGCTACTGTTACCAGCGCATTATTTGCATAGTATTGTCAAGGTCCCATTTGCATATGTTGTTGTTGCGCAATTATTCATCATCTACATTATGACCAAAACACATACAACTTAATAGACTGCAATTTAATATCCTTTCCAAAAGCAATAATACTGTGACGGTTGTTGAGCAAGGCAAATAGGGCTGACTGCGTGAATAAGTAGTCATTCTTTGGCTAAAGTTAATTCAATTGTGGACAATGGTGGGAAATGAGTTTTCTTAACATAAAATTACCATGTAAACTCAACTCAAACATCTCTTTTGGTGGAAACTGAATTAGGCAAAGCCCAATAAAATTAGACATATCGACCTCAACTGAATCTCTTACAGTTAAATACTAACTAGCAATAGCATGCTAAATGCTAAACATTTTTTGTACTTTAAGTCATGCATGGTGATGACAGAAAGCACAACGAGGGGAAAATACAGTCAGAACTTAAGTACAATGAACAACCAGCAAAATCATTTTTCTGACTGCAATGAAAAATAAATTACAATGATTGTTGACTCAAGTCTTCACTGTCGTCTCTATAAGTTGCACTGCAAGCTTGTTAAAATGTATTTCATTTTATACTTTTGAAATGACAATAAATGTGACGACAAGCAAGAGGAAGGGAGCGTGACGTCCTTCTAGAGCAATTCAATTGTGAGATTAATTTGACCTTTAAACTGACATTCAGAATTGGTCCAACTTCCTTGACTAATTGTGTGAAACTGTCCAAAGTTTTTGTTTTTTTTTCCTGCAAAACTTGCACTTAAGTTAAGCTCTATCAACTACATCTATTCAGATCGTAATTATGAAAAAATGAAACAGTGTCTCAGCTTGTTTAGTTCCCAGACAGAGCCAAAATGATCAGGAGGCTTTTAAAAACTGGGCCACTTCACACGGTCTGTGTGGTGCAGTCGGCCCTCTGACAGCCTCTGGTCGTTCTAGACAGTGAACAGGAAGAGGATATGTGCAGAGACTGCCCCGAGACTGCAGGGAAAACTCAGTAAAGCCAAGGACTTAACACAGGTCAAGATCTGAGGGAACCAACATCGAGATCTCGCTGCAGGAGAATAACACGCATATGTGCTGCAGTCCAAAACATTCTCCACCCTGCAAACAGCCAGTAAATTGCAAAATGGATTAATGGAAAACCGCATGGCCGAGGGAGGTAGAGGTACAGATATTTGGAGGATCAGAGCGAGAGAGGCCTTTGGGATCGTGGGAAGTATCTAGGTCTTTCCGCCCTGCCAGCTGTTTCCACAGGGCCCCACTGTACTCTGGACCAGTGTGAAACACAGCACCAGAGAATACAGTTTCCTCTGAACCAAACTCACTGAACTTTCAGAAGAGTGAATTATGAAGAAACACATTTAAATGTTAATCGATTTAGGGCTGCACTGAAAATTGCACCTGTGTTGTCAGCATATGGTGTACCAATGGTGTAGTAAAACAACAACAACAACAGAAAAAAAGAATAACGAACATTGAGAAAGACTCATTCATAGAAGATCTGTGGCAACTTCTTCAAGATGTCTGGAACAACTGTGTCAAGGTTTCTAACTGGAATACAATGCTTGGGAACAGGTCACGTAAGCCCAGTATGGCTTCACGCTGGGGAATCTTGGGATAAATATATACAAAAGCCGCCCTTCGCAACAGCATAGACACCATTGTCCTAAACAGATTAGCCCTTGGTTACAGAACGTCGCCTCAGTAGGTGTCGTTTCTCTAGACCATACAATAAACACCTTAGCTTTTAGTAAGGAACAACAGCTCACTTCACTAAAGGTCTAAATATCTTTGCTGTGAGGAGTTGCTTTGTGCATGACGAGACCTGCACAGTGGCATGTCCACCCACACCCTCTGCCCTTTCTATAGAAAACCACACCTGGATGAGGACATGAGTAAAATCGTCAAAAAAATTAATGAGTCACAAGAGACAAGTTTTCAGCATTTCAGAAAAATATGGAGATGATGATTTCTCACTCATTGAAAAAAAACTGTGGTATCAAAGGTTAAATACAGTAATTGTTACCTATCAACCTTGAAATATATGTAGATGTATATGCACCATAATTTTTCTGTTGTTAGATTAAATTCTCAACAGTTTTAATTCCCTCTCTCTCTAATGATACAGCACACTCCACAAATACAGTGTACTTTAGTGTTCCATGAGTTTTTTTTATAAACATTAGACACACAACCCCATTTTTTGTTATGAGAACTATTAGATAAAGGTATTAGATATTAGAACTATTTGATAAAGTACTGTTTAATATATAAATATGCCTATTATCAAAACTACCTATTAAACACATCTAATTTTAAATTGATTGAACTCATTTCTTTATTTTAATTTGCAATAGTTTTTGTATTTTAAGTAATATTTAAAATAACTATATTTGCAAGCCCATAAAAATATCATATAGAGTTTAATATGACCTCTCAAGGCTGAAAATGAACATTTTCTGAAGGTTAATGTATACACCTACTTTCACTGAGGGAAAAAAAACAATTGGTTAAAGAGCAGGTCATATGGGTTTTTGAAAAATATCTCTTTTGCAGTTTATAACGTAACTATACTTAAATGAAAACAATCTGCAAAAAAGTGCATGATAAATAAAGATATTGTCTCTCAAAAGAGAGAGTCGATTCTGAATCGCCTTAACGAGTCGTCATATTTTCGAATCTTTTGCCTGTTACCGGTATACGTCACTGGGTAACAACTTTGCATAATCCCCGTCTGCCCGCCCGAACTTGCTTGGAATGAATCGTTTAGAAATCATTGGCAAATGACTCTAATATTAAATGTATATTCTGAGAAAATTACAATGTTTTCTGACCTTAGATGCATTTAAACATGTTGTAGGGGACTCAAACGCAATATTAGGACACTTTAAAATACCATATGACCTGCTCTTTAAGCTTTCTTGCCCTGTTTTGCACAATATTCATAAAAAATATTTGAATATTTGCCAAGC